CTGTCCAGATCCATGCAGAGTGACTCTGGTAATACATTTTAATCTGCTTGAACTTTAAAAATCAGCAACCCCATGTACATCAGAGTAGAACTGTGCCTCATGGCATTATCAGTGACTGGTTTTTTCAGAAGGAGATCATCAGGGAGAAGGAGATTCCAAGGTACCACTGGGTGGACTCAAACCTTGAACTTTTCAGTTAGCTGCTAGGCATGTTAACCATTTATGCCACCCACTGTGTTTGTATCATTGTTTCCCCCATTATCCTCTGTGGTCTTTGAAGGTTGGGACTTGACCTCCTTCATCTCAGTAGCCCAGTCAGTGCTTAACTGTGTGCCTGACCCATAATAGGAAAGCAGGGTTTGCCAGACTGCAATAGTTTCTATGAAGATCCTTGAGGTAGTTTGGGCACATAGTAATTGTTTAGTAAATGTTAGCTATTATTCCTTTTTTCTCTTCATTTTCTATTTCTATCAATTTCAGAGTTTAGAATTATATTCTCATAGAGACCGTTAGTTTTGTCCCTGCCAGTTTTGGAATCCCTAAATTGCTGTTTTTTTATGAATGGATCCCAAAGCCCTCTTACTCATGTAAGGATCAACTCAAGCCTCCTCTGTGGGACACCCTTTGTGTCCCTAATAGGGTGATATTTCGTGCCTTCCCTGTCCTCCATACATATGTCAGTTACACTAGAAATACTTTGAGCTTCTTGAGAGCAGGTACTATGATTTACCTCTAGATTCCAGTATTTACCACTGAGAGTTTTCTTGAGATGAAGTGGTAGGGACTGTGGTGATAGGTAACAAAGATGGTGCCGTTGTTGGGAATGGAGGCCTTGATTTGGAAGAGAAAGCCTCTTCTGTGCCCTGGAGAGGCAGACCTTGATATTAAGTCTCTTGAGCACTAGCTCACCAGCCGTTGGGGGAGTGTTTATGCTTTTTATATGAACTGAAGATAATCTGAGGTTACTCTCTTGGAGCAAAGCCAAGATTTGATTGGCATCACCCCCAATAATACAAGTTTGTAGGGGAGACAGAAAAAGCCATTGGGTTTTCTAAATGCTATCTCATGCCTTTCAAGAAAATAAACAGAGCATGTTCTGATCCAAGTTCTTGTCTGTTTGTGGTTATTATCTGCCTAATCATAACCGGAAATCCTCCCCAAGCCTTAGGCAAGGAAGGAAGAAAAAAGGTTTGGATTGTTCCCAGGTTGAAATAAGGCAAAGGAACTGACCAGGCAGATTTTCTTTCCTAGCTATCTATGTTGGACTTTTTCTCGCTTCTCTCTTACAGAATTTGTTGAGCATCCACAATAGGTGCCAAATTTTGCTGATACTACTAGTGCTGTTTGCCGTGACTTCCTTCCTTTGCAGCCAGTGCAACTTCCTGGACTGATTTTATTTGATTCTTTGTTTTCCTTTATTAGACTGTAAGCTTCCTGAGGGCAAGTTCTGTGTCACCTTGGCAGTCCTTGTATTTGGTATACATGATTAAGAGTTAATAAATATGTGTTGAATAAATGAATGGAATGATGCATTAACTTATTACATCAACACGACTATCCAAAGCTAGATTTCATTCTCCCCATCAGACAGATGAGGAAGAATGAGTCTTGGAGATGTGTAAACGCTTGCTTAAAGTACCACTATTGGTAGGGCAGAGTTGAGATCATTAACCTAGCTAGCTGCGAACTGAAAGGTTAGAAGTTTGAGTCTATCAGACATGCCTTGGAAGAAAGTCCTGGTGATCTAGTTCCCCAAAAAGTCAACTATTGAAAAGTCTACGGAGCACAATTCTACTTTGATATACGTGGGATCACCATGAGTCAGAATCAACTTGACAGCAACTGGTCTAACTCCAAAACTCTTTTGTATGTGTTTTATGCTCCTTAGAAACATATGTTTTACAGGCTTATCATATGAACACTATTAAAAATAGAAGCTGGAGGCCTAAGAGTGTACCACAAATGTAAGGAACCCAGGGTCTGTTCCCTCCCTGAGTTTATTAGCAATGCTTTGGCTCCTGGGCACGGTAGAGGCTGTGGTGAGCTGGGTCTAAAAAAGCTGAACATATTCATCACAATGCATGGAACTTTACAAGTGGACTATTAATATCATACTGCTGGCTTCTCAGACTTTCCATAGGCAACTTGGCTATATTTCAAAATGTTTAGGCTGTGGAATGAAGATAGTTTGGGCTCATATCTTTTCTCCCCCAGCTCCACTAACCCAAGAAGACCAGCTGCCATATTTAAGCCAGAACAGTGATCCACTCCCTCCCTCCACCCCCCTCACTTCATTGCAGAGACAAAGTTTCAAGAGCTAATGGTTATGGTTATTACCTTCCAGGGCCCCTCTGTGTTTACTTTGCGAAGGTCAGGCACAATACTGTGGTGTGTTGCTGTTCTTTCTTTTCAAAGCACCAGTATGAATTTGATAAAGTAAATTGTTGTTCTAGCAGGAAGCAGTTAGGGGTCACAAAATAAATAGCCGTAGAATTCAAATAAATCCAAAGAATAAAACCAAATAAATTCATGTGTGTATGCACAGTGATACATAAATACACTTTTTAGAAAGTAAGCATTTTTATCGTTGCCGGTCTGGACCAAAGTAATTGAAAAATTGTGGCATTTATGGTACATTTTTTAAAGGCGGTCTGGGGCTTCAAGCAACGTGACATGAATTTAAATCTTTTTGGAAAACATGAAAATAGAGTTTTATCTTTTAAGGAATCACTTATCTTGGGATTTTTCAGCTAGTGAAATACACATTTGAATGAAACCAATTTGCAAAGTTAAATTAGGGATTTAGACACTGGGGGGAGAATGGACTAAGATGCCCTAATGAGCTAAATATTCTCTTGGAATCTGTTCTCTCCATGGAAGATGGAAATAAACCATGTGTGTCAGAGTAGAACTGTGTTCCCTAGGGGTTTTAATGGTTGATTTTTCAGAAATACAAAGGCCTTTCTTCTGAGGCTTCTCTGGATGGACTTGAACCTCCAGCCTTTGGCTAGCTGCTGTGCACACTAACGTTTGCACACCCCAAGACTTCTAAGTTGGGAGTTATAAAAAAACAAAACCTGTTGCCGTCAAGTAGATTCTGACTCTTGGCATCCCATGTGTTATAGAACAGAACTACTCCATAGAACTTTTTTTGGTTGTAATATTTATGGAAGCAGATTGCCAGACTTTTTTTTTTTTTTTTTTGGTGGTGCCACTGGGTGAGTTTGAACCTCCAAACCTTAGGTTAGTAGTAGAGTGCTGCCTTGCACATTATTGATGAACAATCAGTGGTGACTATTATAGTGGAAGGAGCCCACATAGTACAGTGGTTAAGCTCTTGGCTGCTAACTGAAAGGTTGGTGGTTTGAATCCACCAGCTGCTCTGTGGGAGAAAGATGTAGCAGTCTGTTTCTGTAAAGATTTACAGCCTTGGACACCCTACAGTGCAGTTTTACTCTGTCCTGTAGGGTCTCTATGAGTCAGAATTGACTTGACAGCAATGGGTTTGGATTTATCATTATTACCAAGATGCATTTTGTGTTCTCCCCTAGGCCAGAGATTCATCTTTTACCTTGTGAGGTAGCCTTGGAACTCAGCCTTGAACCTGGGGAGTAGAGGAGGAAGGCATATTCCAGTCTAAGAGAGTATATGAATCAAGGCAGAGCTGTGTACTGTTTTCTTGGAGGGAGTGTGAAGAGGGCAACAGATCATGAAGCTGAAGAGGACAGGGTTATATCATAGGGAACTCAGTAGGCCATATTTAGGAACTTTATCTTACCCTGGGCAATGGGGTGCCTGTGGGGAGCAAGGCAATGGTGTGGTCATGGCCAGAGCCCTTTAGGAAATAAACTGATGGATATGTGTAAGAGGCAGTGGAGCTAGGAGACCTTGATTAGGAGGCTATTGCAGTAGTTAAGGCGAGAGAGATTGTGGGCCTTGCTTTTTGCTTCAGGGTTTGCTGGCATGTGATGGAATGTGTTTGCCATGACCTTTGAGGGAACAGCATCTGAGCTGGCCACTGATAACTAGCAGCAGCTGCAAGAGCTGCCTGGTGCTCCTGGGTGCCCTTGGGCTCTACTCCAGTTCTCTAGGCTGCAGGGCCAAACTCTGATGTTTAATCTTGCTTAGTCTTTGGACAGTGAATGGAAAGGATAGGTAATATAACATTCATTGAGCAGCTACTGTGTGCCTGGCACTGGGCTAGAGGCTTTACATGTTTTAATCTCTGCTAGTCATCACTGTGACTTACTTACCATTTGGGGAAACTGAGACACAGGGAGATGGGGGAGGAAACAGAGGTTACAACACTATGAGGTGGTGGATCGGGGATTCGCAATCATCTGTCTGACTCCAAGGCTTTCACAACTCCAGACAGTAGAACCTTAGGGTTAGCTTCTCAAAGGGGACATTATCAAGACAAGGGGTCTGCCCCCTACAAAATGAATTGGAGGAATGAATAAATTTGGGCCTATAGTAATTATTATGAACTGCACTTTAGGAGGGTGTTATAGAACAGTGCAGAAGTGCCTGTGTGCTCTTGAGTAAGACATTGCACTTCACTAAACCCATGGCTCCGCCACCATAAAAGAGTATATTTTCCTTTCCTTGTTGTGTGCCATGGAGTTGATTCCAACTCAGTGACCCTATAGGACAGAGTGGAACTGCCCCAAAGGGTTTCCTGGGCTGAAATCTTTATAGGAGTGGATTGCCAGGTCTTCTCTTCCATGAAGCTATTGGTGGGTTCAAATGGCCAACCTTTTGATTAGCAGTCAAGTGCTTAACCATTGTGCCATCAGGGCTCAACTCTCCTTTTATGGGTGAGGAAAGGAGAAAAGAGGATGAGTGTAGTAAAAGCACTCCATAGGTTGTGGATTGCTATGAACAAGAAGAATTCATATTGCTGTTAATGTTGTGAATGTGGGGTGATCTTTGGCCTCCTTGTGCTAACCTTTTTCTTCATCATTTTCTTCTCTTACATGCAATTGCTCTGTCTTGACCAGCGGGCCTGCCCTTCCTCATCATCGAGTCAAGCACCATCAAACCTTACCATCGAGGGTTTTACTGCAATGATGAGAGCATCAAGTACCCGCCGAAAACTGGAGAGACGATAAATGATGCTGTACTCTGTGCTGTGGGGATCGTCATTGCCATCCTCGCGGTAAGCATCCACACGGTGCCATACTCTATCCTATTTGACTTCCCCTTGTATCGTAATGTTTTAGAATATCTGTGCCAGCACTGACTTCTACAGACCAAGTATCAAGAATTCCATTTGATTAATATGATTAATTTTTTGCAGTTAATGCTATTACTAAGGCTCACATTTATTATGAAATAAATATATCCCAAGCACCGTTCTAAAATATTTTTCATGCACTATCCTCACAACATCCCCATAGAGTATAGATGCTGATACTGTCTTTCTTCTACAAATTAAGAAACTGACATTCAAAGATTAAAAATAATTTGTCCATAGTCACTTGGTTAATAAGTGGTAGAGTTGGAATTTGAAGCCTGTTCTCTTTTTTCCCAGAGTCTAAGCTCTGATCCCCAGAGAGGGCAATGCCTTGCCAGTGTCCCAGCATTTTCAGTGTTCTCTCCACACTATCACTGTGCTGCTATAACAGTGATAATCTAGATGTTCTCTTGTATATTATTTAGATCCCTAGCACAGTGGCTATGAGGTCCAAGTGAAAAGAAATTACAACTTAGCACTTCTTGGTCACAGCCAGCTACCCAGAGGGAGCAAGTAGTTGAGCCCGTGGGCTCAGGACCATTGTCACAGGGGACATCAAGTTCAACTGGTATAACATACTACACAAAACATTGTTCTACCTCCTACTTTGGTGAGTAGCGACTGGGATCTTAAAAGCTTGCAAGCAGCCATCTAGATGCAACGATGGGTCTCTCCTTGTCCAGAGCAAAGAAAGATGAGAAAACCAAAGATTCATGGAAACAATTAGTCCTAGAGACTGGTACACCATGCAGTCGTCAGCCTTTGTGACTAAGAGACCAGAAGAACTAGATGGTGCCTGGCTACCACTGTCAACCACTCGGAGGGGTATCTATATAGGAGATCCTGGATAGAGAGGGAGAACAATGTGGAACAAAACTCAAAAATCATTTGGAAAAAAAAAAAGGAGGACCAGGTTTGTTGGTCTGATTGAGCCTGGAGGAACCACTGAGACTATGGACCCTAGCTGCCCTTCAGGTCTGGAGTTGAACCCATATGTTCTGGTTACCTAGTGACACTCTGACAGAAATATGCCACAAATGGGATGGCCTTAAGAAACAGGAGTTTATTCTTTCAAAGTTTGAAGAATTTAAGTCCAAGTTCAAAGTGCCAGGCTCTAGAGGCTGGGGTCTAGCTCTGCCTTCTGCTTCTGGCCCACTAGAGCTAGAGGCATTTCTTCACTCAGACAGCTGCTGGCTGCTGAGGCTGACAAACCCAAGGTTGACAAGTAAAAAGGCACAGTCCTGATGCTACCAAATCACACAGCAGGCCATTAATTTAAGTCCATTGTAAGTTCCAAGGTTGGCAGAGCATGACAGGCTGCTGACGACCTAGCTACATGCAGGGTCCAAGCATGCCATAAGCTAGAGACCGTTCCCAAAGCTGCTTCTTATATATGAGAAGCAGACCACATACCCAAAGCAGCTATTCAGCTGCTTGTGGTAGATCCCACCATGGAGTTGACTGCCAGTCTCATCATGGGGAATAACTAGCACCAGCTGCCCAGCCACTTAACCAGACCCAGCCAAGTTGACACACAAACATAACCACCACACCACACCTATGGCTTCCAGCCAAATAAAAGACAGGCATATGAGTTGAACATGTACCTGAGGTAGATACACTCCTTGGAGAGAACAATTATGGGAGAAAGAAGGAATATTTATGCACAGGGAGACAGCTCGGGAGGAAGGAGTGCATGGAGGGATGGATACAGGGAAGAGGTAACTATCAGGAGGAAGTGGGAGGGAACTGTTACATTGGGGTAAATTGTAGGCAATGTCATGAGACAAAGTGTTTGTGAACTGCTGTATGGAAAGTGATTTGCTTTGTAAACTTTCACCCAAATCACAATTAAAAAAAAAAAGAGAAATTAGGACTTAAAATTCAGAGACCTAGGTTTTAGGCCTGGCATTGCCACTTATAACTGTGTATCTTTAAAAATAAGGGTGACCATCTTTCTTCACAGTGTTGTGGTGAGGAATAAAAGAGGTCGTGGCTACTGAAATACTTTGCAGGCTACTCATATTCAGATGTAAAGTTCAGGCTTACATCCAGGTCTTCCCTAAAAGAGTGAAATTCTCATTGAACATCTTAGTTCTCTAGTGCTCCTGTAACTGAAATACTACCAGTGGATGGCTTTAACAAACAGAAACATTTTCCTTCACAGTTTAGGAGGCTAGAAGTCCAAATTCAAGGCACCAGCTCTAGAGTAACACTTTCTCTCTCTGTTGGCTCTAGAGGAAAGTCCTTATCTCCAACATCTGTGGGCCTGGCATCCCTTTCAGATCTCTATGTGTTTTGGTATTAACCTTCCCCCTGGGTCTAAGAGGTTCTCAGTACAGGCACTCTGGGTCTAAAGGACACACTCTGCTCTCAGCTCTTCTTTCTTAAACTCACTCACTGCCGTCAAGTCGATTCTGACTCATAGGGACCCCTCCTTGGGTTTCTGAGGCAATATCACTACAGAAGCAGCTTGCCCAATCTTCCATCCGAGGACAGGCTGGTGGGTTTGGACCACCAGCCTTCTGGTCAGCAGTCAAATGCCTTAGGCACTATGCCTGTGGTAGTCAAGTCCCTCCCTCTCTGCTTGCTTCTCTCTCCTTTTATCTCTTGTGAAATAAAAGCTGATGCAAGCCACACCCCTGGGAAACACCCTTTATATCAAATATGGGCTGTGGCCTGATTAAAGGTGTTGCATCCCACCCTAATCCCTTAAAACAGATTGGCTGATCACATCACTGGGGATGATTACATCATTATATAACTACCAAACCACTGAGAATGCTGGCCCAACAGACACATATTTTGGGGGTGACACAATTCAATCCATGATATTGAATGTATTGGAAAAATGTACCACTGACTTTGAAAAAAACCAAACCAAACCCACTTCCGTCGAGTCGATCCAACCCCTCCTTGGGTTTCCGAGGCAGTATCACTATGGACGTAGATTATCCAACCTTCCTTCTGAGGAGTGGCTGGTGGGTTTGAACTGTCAGCCTTCTGGTTAGCAGTCAAATGCCTTAGGTACTATGCTACCAGAGTTCCGACTGTCCACAACTGTTTTGAGCAGTGGTAGCCCCATGGGAAGTGAAGTGGGGTATGGCCTATCTGGACCCTACTGAGGAAGATACCACTCTGTTGTAGATATGTCTATTTGAGCCTGGTGGAAGCACATGGAAATCTAGTCTTGTAATTTATGAGTCATATATTTTTCTTAGCTGTCCATTTCTCGCATCCAATGTTTTCTGTTTGTTCTTTGCTCTTGAACTGTACCCACATAGTGATGGGATATGTGTCACCCTACCAGGATCATAAATTCTCTCTCAAAGATCCTTGAGTCATTTTCTATTACATATAACCTGGGCTTTATCTTTGGTATGTGTCCGAAGGAGCGAACCTAAGACACCTGACTGCGCTAACCAGAAGGCTGGCGGTTCAAACTCACCAGCCACTCCTCAGAAGGAAGGTTGGGCAATCTACTTCTGCAGTGATACCACTTCAGAAACCCAAGGAAGGGTCGCTATGAGTCGGGCCCGACTCAACGGCACATAACAACACAACAACAACATGTGTTAGCAAGTCAGAAAGAAGAAGGTTAAAATTGACACTAAATGTGAGGTGTGTGCTGTTATCCCCATTACACAGATGGAAAACCAGAAACTCAAAAGAGTGAAATGACATGCTCAAAATCTGTAGCTTGTAACTTGTGAGATTGGGCTCCAGAACACCATACCTGATTTATGACAAAGCCCCCTTTCCATCTTGCAGACTTAGTTCCAGGTTGAGCTTGGCTAATGATCTGTACAAGGAGATCGGCAGTTAGCTTATCTTGCCTACTCCAGATCAAATGTGAGCTGCTGATGTTACATGAACCACACTTCATGAAGTTTTCTTTTGACTTCTCCACTCTGGGGGTTGGTTGTAAACTTTGAGACCCCTCTTTGTGTTTTAATAACGTCGTAAACTAACCACACAATCAACAGTTTGAAATTGGGGAGGGGGAAGGGAGACTAGTAGAATTCTTTCCAACCTTTCAAAGAAAAACAGTCCATTTTGGCAGCTGTACTGGTTTCTTAAAGGTGGACTAAGGTTCTTTGTGTTCAAAAGTTGAAAAATAAAAGACCAAATTTTACTTTTTGCTCCAAACTGACAGTGGTGGGGCTGAGTTCTCTGGGAAGAATGGTTTTTCTTGGAAAAGACGTTCATAATGGAAGGCAAATAATTGCACAAGTATCTTGTTGTGTTAAGGATTGAACTGGTGCTTTTGACACTTGACTTGAAGGAATAGTTAATTGAATGTTTTTAGGAAGCCCTTACAACACAGGTAGGTGGATAGGTAAAGACAACACAGGGACAGGAATATTGTGTGCCCGTCACGCTAGTTACATGGGATTGTTTCTGGTTTTTCTAGCACTCCCAGGCATGGTGCGGTGACAGGAGACACTGTTCAGGGGCCTTTCCACTGTCTAGTCATATGAATTAAGGCAAATCACTGGCTTTCTCTAAGCCTCATTTTCTTCATCGATAAAAATGAAGTTTGCATTCACTCATGGGATTGCTGGAAGACTCAAATGCAGTATTGAATAGGAACACTTTGTAGCAGTGGCGAGATGGAAGGCAGTCTTTTAGAAGGAGTGGTTCTGGATCCTGACCCCAGAATGGGCAAAGGAAAGTGCTAAAGTAGCTTCTTTGAGAGCTGTGCTTCTCTTACGTTCTTCCTTTCCCAAGGAAATCTCCTGGTCAGCACCTTGTCCCCTGCTACTTGCCAAGGCCCGTTCCTTCCTCCTCATGAGATTCCAGCATTTCTTAAAAAAATGTGCCTTTAAGAGTTTAGTTTTGGCTTGCCCCTCTCCTTATGACATGTTGATGTTTTAATTAAAATGCTCCCTGACCTCCTAAGGTTTCCTTGAAATAGTCAT